GACCTGGGCAGGGTGGGCAAGATGCCTTCAGGTCGGCCCTCCCTTGAAGAGTCGCAGCGTCTTCCGGGTGCTTTTCTCCTGCCTCTCTCGCTTCCCTCCCTCTGACGCTCAGGTGACTTTCCGTGCCGCTCTTCCACTGCCGGGTGTTGCGGGTTGCACCGAACGTCCAGGAACGCTGCCCGCTTCCAGCCCTGCCACAAAGACCTCTCTTTGTGCGGCTGTGGCTGCTCCATCTTCAGTGGCTTCCTGGAAGATCAAACACTGCTGAGCCAGGTCTTTTTCTCCTGCTTGCCTGAGTCAGTGGCCAGTCATCATCAGCGAACCGGAGGCATTGCAAAACCATGCTGTGGACCACCTGGAGGAACTGGGTGGCCACACCATAATCTCCCCCCCCCCCAAAAAAAAAGAAAAAAGGAAAAAGAGGAAGCCCGTCATCAAAAACAGGGCAGAAATTGGAATAACATCAGCAGACGCCAGTGCATGCTGAGAGACGTGCATTTAGAAATAATTCCTGAAATTTAAATAGGTAGTCAAAACATCTCACTGTAGTGTGCGAGCTTTCACCAGGAGAGCTGGCCATCTCTGTCCTGCCCAATAGCTGAAGCTCTCTGGGAGGCTGACAAAGATCAAAACCTTAAACATCCCATTATAAAAGGCATTGCTATATAAATATATAAACCTCAGACACAGATACACCAAAAACAATTCTGAAGGGACAGTTCCTTGGACAGAGAAAAGGCTGACAATTCCCAGCATGCTGGAGCCACAGGACTTTTGTCTACCTAAGACATATAGGAATGGGCCGTTCAGGCTCTTTCTTTCAACACTGGACTTGGACCAGATGTGTTCTGGGCAGCTTTGAAGTGCAGGCATTCCTGCCCCTCTGCACAGCTGCATCCTCCAAGAAGGTCCAAAACACCCAACAGCTCTATCAATCCCTTTCAGCAATCCAGTTCTAGTTTTCACCTGCCAGAGCAAGGTTTTTGTAAAGAATGTGGGACTTTCTTGCCTGCTCCAGACCAAGCCTCCAAATAGTTGCCAAGGAGTTTGTTTCCTCTACCCAGCTATGGTGGGAATCAGGAAGCAGAGATGCCTGAAGGGAGTGGCTGCTGATGTCAGCATCCCTGCCAATCAAACAGAGCATCCCTGCAACCTCAGCAGCATGCCATGGATGGTCCTTCAAGAGGAGGGCTCTGAATGCCATTCTGCCCACTCAGGGCCCAACTGGCTGCCCAGCGGTGTGTTGGACAGGGGTGCAAGAGCCCAGGATATTAATGGAGAAGGAACCCCGGCAGTGAAACCAGTTTCAGAACTACTTTGACTCCGCCATGTTTGGCTGTGTTAGGCATGGCCTACCTCCATCTCCTCAGCCTGGTCCTCTCCAGTCTTGGACTCCATCTCCTATCATTCCTGGCCATGGAAGCTGGGAATGATGGGCACTCCACTCAAATGCACCAGGCTGGGGGAAGGCTGCCCTATCATGTTCACACGTGGTGCTGAAATCTGGTGTATCCCTTGTTGCAATCCCTTTCTTTGTGGTTATAAACAATAGACCCGGCTCGAATAAATACTCTGTTTCAAAGCAGCCTCCTTTCTACTTTTTATCTGGCGTTCAGAGTGTTTACAACTGACACAGTCCAGATGCTTGTTTGCACACCAGGCCGTCAGAAAGAAAGAAACGCTTTCGAGACCTTCTCTCGCACCATTTATGCCACGTGCGAGGGTTGCCAGTGCAAGATTGAGCATGAAAGAGAAATCGTGCACGTGCGGTCTGTGCCACGCAGATTTTATATTGGCACTGACAGAATGATTTAAAGCAAAGCAGATCCAGGAGGCAACCTTGTTTCTGCAAGACTTCTATCAGCTTTGTTTTAAATCAGCTCCGAATGTCAATATAACCTGCTGGCTGAGAGACAATACGTTGGATTTTACCCACCCCCTCCACTCGCCCTGGATTCTTTCCGGAGCTGATCCTGCCAGGAGGCAGCTGATCTGGGGATGCTGGGGTGTTGACCCCTTCTCATCCTGAAGGCCAAATTCAATTTTGGAGAAGGAGCTGCAGTCCAGTGGCAGGTGGGAATCGAAGCAACAGAGGTAGGACCAAAATGCCACAATATCGTAGCCTGAAGTTCCTATTCCAGTAACCAAAGCCCTAGAAAAGGCTTTCTGAGTTTTCAGAACAGTGGAATTTGCTGGGACACCACCAGAAAATCCACGGTTGAGGTAAAGGGTGTGGGGGTCTGGGAAGGGAAGGTGGGATGACTGTCTTGCGTACCCAGAAGTACAGACTGGGACCCTAAAATACCAGGTTTGGTCTTGCATGCCTGAGGTTCAACATGGCTCCATGAAAGGGTGGGGAATGGCCAGTAATTTCATTTAAGGTGTGACTGAAGCATATGTAGGAAAAAAAAGAAATACTACCTGCTCCCAGCATTCTCCATACTTGGGAATGCTGGAGGTTATAGGCCTTTTTATGTTTAAATAAGTTTGCATGCTTAGGCTAAATTCCAAAGCACACATACCTGGTCTCACCAGCTTTTCTTTTCTTTTTCTTTTAACTACCGTGAGGTTTCACTGGTTGTATGGCAGGGAGAGATTTGGACTTTCTGCTCTGTGCACCAAAAGCCTTCATGCCATTGCAAATTCTCTGTCTGCTGAACAAACTGCAGTTCCTGAAAAGAGTAAGGGAAGCTTAGACATACTTCCTTGGGTCTCCTATCAAAGGAAAAAGGTGCTAGGTTTCTAGTGATTTGGAGAGGGTGGTTTGGTGCTTGTTTCCTGCGATTGTCTTTGGGCGGAATGAGTTTTGGAAGCTTTGATGGTCAGCTACGCCCATTCCTTGCTCTCTGCAGGCCATGCTATTTTGGATGCAACTATGGGATTCCTGATTGTTCAGCCCCTGGGTAAAGGCATCCAAGATGTCCAGCAAAGGAGAATCACTCATGTCTTGAGACAGTCTGTTTCACTGGAAACTGCTGTCTTGCTAGAGAAACCTCTCCATCACCCTCTCCTCTGAAGGTCCATGGACACACTGGTCCATGGGATGGGGGAAATCCAAAACTCACAGCTGGGCAATATCTTCACTGAGACCAACCAAAGTTATAGACATGTTTGGGTTCTCTGGATTTCTTGATGGAGACCATAATTTTGTGGAATCAGGTTGGTCTTAATAAAGTTACTGTCCCAAGTGTGGATGGTTAGAGAATACCTCTGAAGGTTGCACAGCAGTTTTCTTCCCTGGGATTTCCACCTCTGGAGCACTCATGAAGTTTGCTCCATCTTCTGTGTGATCAGCCTTTCAGGTGTTTGGAGAATGGTGTCCTATCTCCCTGTAATGCCCTGTTCTCCAGGTTTAACCCACTCTGCTCCTTCAGTGGTTCTTCAAGGAGTATGGTCCCTGGACTTGCTTGCTATCCAGCTGGACATCAGGAAGAACTTTCTGACTGTTGGACCAGCCCAGTGGAACCCATGACCTAGGAAGGGCAGGGCTCTCCACACTAGAGGCATTTTAGAAGCAGCCGGAGTGATGGTTGAACATGGAGTCCTGAACTGGTTGGAACTGGCCCCTTCCAACTCTATTATTCTATGATCCTCTTCATCCTTGTAAATGAATCAGTCAAGTCTAATAGCCTTGTCCATGCAGCGTAATTGACTGACAGTAGATGCTGGAAGGACAAAAGGAAGTGCTTCACATGGTGTTGGAGCAGTCTGTGGAACTCATCGCCACAAGATTCAACAGCCTGGATGGCTCTAAAGGGGCATCAGACACATTCATGGAGGGGGGACAGAGATGCTTGCTGTCTCCTTAGCTGTGTGATTTTTAATGGGTATTTTATGATGCATTGATATCTCATCTTTCCCTCCAAGGCACTCAAGGCTGCATTGACCACCCTCTCTATTGTATTCCCACAACCCTGCAAAGTAGGTTAGGGATGAGAGTCAATGAGTGGCTCACAGTCTCCCAGTGAACTTCACAGCCAGCAGGCACTCGACTCTCTGGTCCCAGCTGAACACAGAAACTGTCGAGCCACACTGGTTTTGCGCAGCTACCTGGCCCCTCTGTGTTTAGAGCCAGGATCCTTCTGGGGAGCAGAAAACAGTGCCATGGGTGAGGCGGGAGGCAGATGTGTCCCAGGAATTACGTGGCTGACCACTGCTGGAAACAGGAAACTGGGCCGGATGGGCCGTGGAGCTTTTCTCACGATCGTCAGGAGCCCTGTTATTCCGAGCGGCTGGCCAGTCCTCAGCCCTTTGCTATTGGGATGCTTCTGCCTGCCAAAGGGAAATAAGGAAGAAGAGGAAGCGAGAGAGAGAATGACTCCGCGCTGATGGCCCGCCTCTTTCCTTCTGAGCCCCAGCCGCGAATGGATCCTACTCTGTGCTTACGGCATCCAAGCTGCGGGGGGGCGAGTGGGCGGGGGAGGACCGAGCGGGACAGGCTTGGGTGGGGGCGGTCTGGACGTGAGATTTCAAACATCAGATCAGTGCGTTTATATATTGGGTGCCCGGAAATTTTTCCAAATAAACACAGCTTGATTCGACTTGGGTGGGCAGACTTATCAACAGTCTAATGCTATAAACAAATGAAGGGAGAAGCGGGGAGACCCATTGGCTGGTACAAGGCGAGCCACGTGGAAAGGGGCTCGCGAGTCGCAGGGAAATTTTAATTAAGGTGGGTGGGCTGAAGCTTGCAAAACGGCTGTTTATCGGAGACAATTTATTTTCCAGCGCTAAGTCAACATATAATCGCAAACTTACAACAATTATTTCACATTTCCTCCCACCCACCCGCTCCCCCCGTCCTCTTCTTCTTCTTCGTCTCCCCCCACCCCCGTCCTCGGAAAATAAACCACACACACAAGAACGATGAAGCAGGGACACTGCGGGAAGACGCGCAAGGGAGGCGAGGAGGAGCGGTCGCCGCCGTCGCTGCGCGCCCCGCGTCTCCCCGGCCCGAGCCCACCGCGCGCCCCGCGCCCCGCCGCCGATCCGGGGCGGCCATGAGCCAGCTGGGCGGCGGGCCCCCGCGGGCGCAGCCCCACCAGCCGCGCCACCTCCCTGCGGGCCTGGGCGCCGCGCCCATGGTCTACCTCTACGGGGCCGAGCGGGGCGCGCTGCCGCCGGGCGCGCTGGGCTTCGCCGCGGCGGGGGCCATCCCGCGGCCCGAGCCCCCGCAGAAGCCGCCCTTCTCCTACATCGCGCTCATCGCCATGGCCATCCAGGAGGCGCCCGAGCAGAGGGTCACGCTGAGCGGCATCTACCAGTTCATCCTGGAGCGCTTCCCCTTCTACCACGACAACAAGCAGGGCTGGCAGAACTCCATCCGCCACAACCTCTCGCTCAACGAGTGCTTCGTCAAGGTGCCGCGCGAGAAGGGCCGCCCGGGCAAGGGCAGCTACTGGACGCTGGACCCGCGCTGCACCGACATGTTCGAGCACGGCAACTACCGGCGCAGGAAGCGCAGGCCCAAGGCCGCCGGCAGCCGCCTCGGGGCGGAGGGCGCCGAGCCGGAGAGCGGCGGGGAGCCGCCCAAGCGGC